CACAGACCAGACCTCAGTGACCAAGTCTTTGACTAGAGCATGCCAACACAGCTTCACTGAACTCAACACAGTTACTCCTGCTGCAAGTGTCTGCCTCTGTAGATGTCAGCTTGAATCTTCTGTAGTAAACCACGCCTCCTCTACTGTCTGGTTCCTAGCTGGTGCTTAGCAACTTGTCATACAAATCCAGGACAAATAGTGTATGTGCATGCATCTGTACACAGAGATCAACAGCCAAACTGTTCCAGTCTTCACAAACTCATCAGTATGACAGACAGTGGGATATTTCTCTGCTTCCGTCCATTAGAAACCACTCATGGAAAAATCCATGGCTTCAACTCCCCCACCTCATTAGCACTATAAAATGCTAGTGCAATTTATTTTCCTGTACAGATAAATCCACTGGCAACTGAATTTGAAACCTGCATTTTAATGTCAACTATCATGAAACAAACCTTGCATTAATACACAAACAACCTATTCTAAAAAATTCATAGCAGTAATTTCAGAATTTGTTTAACTAAAGAAACTCTTGCATGGCCATGATCACCTTAAAAGAACCTACATAGGTCATCTTAGAAGAATTCATGTAGATAAAAGTAACAACTAAAGAATACTGGAGTTTGTATTTCCATTTGCTTTTGTGCTCCCTAAGAGTTAGAGATCTAGTCTGTGTATTATTTCATCTAATTAGGCAAGCAACATATTAAATTCTTGCCCAAAAGTGTCAAAGTACTGGATAGATGAGTCCACTATAAATTAATTCTTGTAGTTTAATTACAATTAAAAATTTAAAGACACTTCATCTCTCTCACCTCAATGGTCGGTGGATTCTTTCTTTTTTTTCTTATCCATGCTGCAAAATAAAATAAAATAAAATGGATTATTTCAAAGATCAGAGAGACTATTAAAACTCAATTATGATGTATTTGTAACAGAAAGTAAATGCTGACGTAAAAATTACAATGAAATTTGCCACAACCTGGCAAGCCATAAAATTTCCTAAAATATAAAGACCCAACATGTTATTTCCCACCTAAATACTCTCAGTCTTTACAGAAGGGAGGGGGGAAAAAGGAAAATTAAAAAGAAATCATGTCTGTGAGGAAAGCTTGGGCACAGTTTACATACCACACTGGTTGCCAAAACAGGGCTTAAAAACCAGCACTCACAGCCCGCTGCCGGTTGTTGAGCTTTCTACACAGAGCTGAGCTTCACCCTGAGAAAGCTGACTGGTGAAAAGTATGAAAAACCTTACACCTCTCTGGAGAAAAAGGATTCCTGTAAATGCCTCAGGCACTGTTAAAGCCAAAACCCTACTTATGTTAGTGCCAACTAGGATTCCTTTTTGGGATGAAAGGCAGAGCCCCAAACCTGACTGAGGGGCTGCAGAGCCCTGCCTGCACCATGTTCTATGGCTGTGTGGGGTTACCCACTGCATCAAGGGGGAGGATCCATAATCAGGGGGAAGCTCCTTCCATCTCAGTCAACTCATGCTGGAAGAGAGCAGAGGGATGAAAGCAGTGGCAAGGACAACTGTTCTGTGGCTGATGGTTTCCACGACGAACCAAAATCAATATGCTTATGCCCATCCCATTGCAAACACTGATGGTCAGCATGGGACTGACTGGAAGCAGCAATCTAAAGGGGCCCTACTGCAGACTCCATCAATATTCCATTCCAATTCATTCAGTCTATGAATTATTAGGCATAGCTCTAGCTACAACAGGCATTATTTAGACAAACAAATTATGTAAAACTGTGGACAAGACAATATCCATCACTCTTCAGAAGTATCACTACTGTAGCTTTTTTCATGCCTTTTTATCCACACAATTGGTAGGTACTTGGTTGTATATTTTTCAGACAGTCTTTTCTGCTCATATTTTTCAAATGAACAAGTAGCAGAATGCAAGTGGCCAGTAATGAACAGAAGGACAAACATAAGGAAAGCCAGTTCCAAGTGCCAAGACATGGCAAAGCGTTCTTTTGTGTATTTGCTTAGACAATTAAGACTTTGGTTACTGTGCTTGAAAATTAGAATGAAAATGACATTTTCATTATCACCCAGTCAAATTCTTGTCTGACCTGTAGCTGTCTATGAAGTTTCAGCTTTAAGAAGGAATTATTCCAAATTTGAATTTTCTAATACCATCTGTGCTGCATTTTGAGAACTGGGGAATGATTCAGACAGCATGCCCAGAACACCAAAAGCTGCACAGAGTCAGTGTCACCTCGCTACTGAAAATGCAGTTACACGTAGAGTTAAACACTTAACACCATTCTCTTTCAACAACATTATGAACCTGATTTTAGGAGGGTAGCTTCCAATTAACATAAGAACAGAATTAAGGCAGGCAAAATGGCATTGCACAGCTTGGAATTTAGCCATGATAACAAGGCCAACAGCCTTAACTCAAGGTTAATGGTAAAATACCTGTAATAATACAAAACAAGGTATTACTTTTGGTTCTTGTCTATCAAATGACACTTTCTGAGTAAGTGTTCTTTTAAATACCATTCTCAAACATCTTTCACAAGCAGTTACTGCCAGCTCTTCTCAGAAGTCTTTTGGTCCTAACAAAGGTTAGACCTAAATTTGTTATTGTGGAGAAGCAGCTGAGCACTGAACAGTCAACATCATCCTTCCTGCAAGTTTTATGCTGGTAGAAAGAAAGACAGCCTAGTAAGATAATCCAAAATACAACTAAATTACTTTAAATTGAATCTATAGAACCAGAAAACATTTTGCATGTACCCATAGCACTTTTGAATCCTTTATGAGGATTTCAAATACAAAATCTGGCAAGACCAGAGCTTAAACTGGCATGACTGGACTGACATTTCCCACTGGAAGCCTTGTAGACAATCTTTGTAAAAGAGCTGACAGTGCTATTAGACAAAATCACAGCACATATGCCTTTCCTCTTGACAGAAGTCATCTTTCTTTGTGCTTAGCAACAGTTCCAACATCATCCAGAAAAGCAAGAAAGTGGTACAGTATCAGGTATAGCGAAGGTTGTATACTAGGCACCAAAGCATTAGACAGCTGGATTAAAAAGGAAAAAGTAGTAGTTTTAAATACTTCATAGAAAAATAAGTTTTAAACCTTCAAAATTCAAGGGATTGCTTTCAACAAAGTATCATCTGCTTTGCCATGCCTTGCTTCTGTCACGTGGAATACCACTGGTTTCAGTTCCACATCTCTCAGCACCTAAAAATTGCTTCATTAGTTTTAAATTGCCAGTATCTAAACAAAATAAAACAACTCCAAAACCAAAACTAGCCACATTTTAACTTCAGCTGTGTGAAATCCTAGAGAAGTTAAGCTGCAGTCAGAAACAACTGCTGAAATACAACCATTGTAATAGATTTTCTTTCAATAATAGATGGGACTTTTAGGCAGTTATTTCACAATTTTCAGATTAATGAAATACCTCTACCAAAAGATTTTATCATTTAATTATCTGCCTCAGTTTAACAAGCCACAGACAGAACAGTGAAAGGTAACACAATGACATGCATCCTGTGAACAGAACTGCGAAGCAAGGAACATTATGCAACACGTTTTCATTCATTAATAGATCCCAGTTAGTACCAACACTCAAAAGCAACAAACCAATCCTTAATTTAGGGAGATTTCTTGTATCAAACATTCCACTATCAGACTGTATCTATTTAAATTCATTAAATAATGCACACAGTTATAACATTGTGCTATTTTTCTTTCCAGCTATAAAAACCATTTGAATGCATGGGTTTACAGGAGCTATCAACCTTCCTTCTTTCTAGTGAAAGTCAGGACTACAATACTTTTTCAGTTTAACCCTTGCTGATAAAATTTGCTGATACAAAGATTGGACACCATTTTCCAAATTATTACAGGTAAATTCATTTTAACATTTCTGATGAGCTGCATTAGGAAATCATTATTAAATTAAATTTAATGCTATGTAGCTGAGTGATAAATACTGTAATAGAAATTACTAAAATCTCTTTGTAGCCATGAGATGAAGTCAGTGTTAATATATAATATTTCCTCTGTGCAAATCCATTTCTGAAATACTCTATGTAAAGCACAGCTCAAGACACATTACAAAATTAAAAGCAAAGAAAACATCACCTGAATTTAGTATATTTCAGTATATTGTACTTTAGCATTGAACAGTTTTACCAGTCTTTTAAAAGCAATATATTTTTCTAATAATTTATCTGTCAAGTCCTCACTCTTTGGGGAGAAGAACTGGAGTACTCTAATATATTTAATTCTCATCTGTTTTTCCCGACAAAAAATTAAAAAGCCTTTCAATTTTTTTTTAAGTTATCAATAATATTTTGAACTTCGGAAACAACTTTCAAAAAAACCACCAACACCTCATAACTCAGTCATAAGGGAAATTCATGGTAATAATTAAAGGAAGAATGAATGCATGCAAAAATATAACCAGTGATTTACTATTGAATTAGCACTAATTTTAACAAAATTTAAGCAAATAATATCTTGATAACAAAACATTTTGCATTCTCTTTGAAAAATATAGTCAATGTATACACTTTATCAAGGAAAAGCTCTCCCACCTTTCTTCCACAACTTTAGCAAAGGAAAAGCTCTCCCACTTTTCTCCCACCTCTTTAGCAAAGGAAAAGCTCTCCCACCTTTCTTTCATCCTTTGTGCTCTGCATTACACTTTTAGTCAATGCAGGTTTCAATTACTGAAGGGACTTATTCCACAGTTAAATATTTGTTGATAGAAACAAAACAGGCAGGTGCTTTATTATACATTATTTGAAGGCCATATGCACACAAGCATATATTTAATTAAAAAGCAAACAGTGACAGTTCTGGCTGGAAAAGATTTTCACATGAACACTCCCATTCCCTATGCTAATAAGAGAAAATGCCCCCATCACTGTCAGCCAGAATGGTTTAAATCTGGTAGAGAAGGTAACATGTATGTACTGAGCGCAACTAAAACATGTTTCCCTGCCCCCAAGAGCTTTGGCAAAATTGCCTCCATTTCAAACCAATTATGCTGCTGCTTCTAATTTTATCTGGCTGGCACTTCCTGCATTCTGTACTCATTGTAAGGTTACTTTTGTCTAAAAGGAATTTAGCAAGATAGCTGGACATTTCTACCTAGAGTCCACATCCTTTCATCAGCACTCATTTGCATTCTTATTAGAATGCATGAGATTTTCATTGAACTTTAAGACTCCTACTGGCACAGAATACACTGTAATGACCATAAATGTGAGTATGCAAATTAAGACTCCCACTAATCACTAAATGTTACCAAGAAAGAAATAATGAAGAAAAAGAGGAAAAGAAAAAAGAAAAAAAAAAAAAAAAAAAAAAAAGAAAGTAGGAGTATATGGGCAATAAAATGATGCGGTGTGAAGCATGCAATCTCTTGCATCTCTATAGATATGTAAAATTACTGATTTCCTCTCAGGAGAGCCACTGACATGTCCCAGGGAGGTAAGTTACACTTTCTACAATAGGTGAACATTCAGTGCTAACATTACAGAAAGGTTATCAGTTGTGCTCATCCATATCGCCTACAGAAAAGTATGTGCTACCACTTCACAGTAAAATATAAGAGACTTCACCTAAGCAAATATAGGTAGCATTTGTGTTGTGCCTACGGATTATGTTCTACATTCAAAACTACAGTACAAAAGGAAACACACTTTTGGATTTTTAGAATTAAAATTAACTTAATTTTCAGGTACAAATACCTAGCACTGAGCCTGGATTCAGCAGCAGCAGTCATTTTTCTCCTTCTTAGCTGGTGCAGTGCTGTGGTTTTGACTTTCAGCCTGGGAACAGCACTGATAACACTGATGTTTTTAGTTGTTGCTCAGTAATGACCAAGGACTTTCTGAGTCTCATGCTCTGCCAGGGAGGAGGGGAAGTCGGAAGGAAGCAGAGACAGGACACCTGACCCAAACTGACCAAAGAGGTATTCCTTACCACAGCATGTCATGCCCAGTATATAAACTGGAGGCAGTTACCTGGAAGGGCTAGATCACTGCTCAGGTCAGGCTGGGTATCGGTCGGTGGGTGGTGAGCAGCTGTATTCTCTTCCCTTGTCATTTCCATTATTATTATTGGTGGTAGCAGCAGTGATTTGTGTTATACCTTAGTTACTGGACTGTTCTTATCTCAACCCATGGGAGTTACACTCTTTCAATTCTCCTCCCCATCCACCCAGGAGAGGGGGAGGAAAGGCAGGAGTGAGCGAGCAGCTACGTGGTTCTGAGTTACTGGCTGGGCTTAAACCACGACATATGGATAACACACAGATTATGATTCTGTTCTTTTCACATTGAGCATATTTCAGTTTTACAAATCCTTAATGGACATTCAGTAGTTTTGTAAAATTCACACGCCTGAGAATTTAGGAAATTTAATCCTGTGGCTCACTTAAAACTAAGACAGAAACATTCAGGAGAAACATTCCAGGCGAGCCCTTCAGGAGTAAGCCCTTGGCCCTATGATTGTTAAACTCTCAGGACTAATACACAAATCCTCTCTGGAGTCAGAGAAAGAGCTTGCAGAGACTGAGTCTGTAATCTGGCTGACTGGTTTATCTACTTGCTTTATAGCTTTCTACTTCGTATCCGTTACCTTGTTACATGTTTATAACTTGATAGACACAGTACAAAATCAGCCCTTTAGTTTACCAGCTGACGAGGCTGAAAGTCTTAGATATACAATGAGATTAAACTCAGACTAATTTCACTACAGCCTGCTCCCAGTCCTTAAACAATCCCTTGACCCTGGTTTTGTGCAACTTCTCCTCAGACAACTCATGCCCTAAGTATTTCCAGCGACTGTACTTTTATTCATTTTGGTTACAAGAGGTTTCTTTTCTAGTCACAAAATGTCATGTAGGTAAACAAGCACGAGGGAAGGGGGGTGAGACGACTGCCTTTAAATCAGGTGGCCATTAAAGATTATCTACAAGCTAAAAAACTGAATCCCGGCAGAACAAAGAGAGCACAGGGAAAGCAGCTCTTTACGGATCCCTAGAAAAAGAAAACAGGCATCAGAAAATTTAGCACAGTCCTTAAAGTGAGAAGCCTGAGAAGGCTAGGCAAGGAGCTGTTACTGCTGAACCAGCCAAAACTGAAGCAGAGGGGCCACAGATGTCAAAGTGCACACAGGGGATTTGGAGAGAAGGCCCCTGGAGATGTAAGCATGTGCCCAGCAGAGAGGATTTAGAACACTAAAAATGCACAAAATTTCCAAGAGCAAAGAGAAAACAGAAATAAGAAATATTATACAGCTTGCTAACCTTGGGTTCATCTTTTACTATTCAGAGAAAACAACAGGTATTTTAGAAATCCTTCTGCAGGGTCTCCAGACTATTTGCTGGAATGATTAGCATCCGTGATAGCACAAACTATAAAGTGAACACCCACAGAAAGAATGCATTGGGAAATTTTCAAGAGTCTGGACAGAAGATAGAGAGTAAAAGTTCAGTACAGGTGGTGTGTGCCTGGGAAACTTCAAGGTCTCAAAGAGGAACAAACTGAGTCAGAATTGAAATGAGCCTTTTCAGCAAAGCACATCTAAAACCCATTAACGGTTCCCACTCAGATAACTGACTTCTACAGTATTATTTAAACCCTCTACTCTTCTCATTCTTTCCCATTTCTTACTCACTGAGAATTTTTCATTTTAAAGAAGGCAGATAGTAGTGATGAAGTGAACTTCAGAGCATCCCACATCCATGATTCACATCCCAAAATGCAGCAAAGGCACAATAGTTATTGAACAGCCTTTACATCCACAGCAGAAGTACCAGTTTGGCTTTTAAACATTGTTTTATTTCCACAAAACTATTCATAATGTTTAAATTGGCACTGGACAAAAATATACAGGCTGGCCTTGTTTTCTTGGAATTGCCATACCTGATCTGTCAGAAACATGAATTACACACACATTTAAGGAAGGTACAAGATGGGGTAAAAGATGCGTGTATATCTTCTTTCTGCTTCTAGACAAATTTAGTACTTAACAGGAAAAAACTGTTACCTATCTGATATCGTAAATTTTTGTTTTCTCTGTGAACTGTTCCTATTTGGTGATGACAAAATCCCAAACAAAAACCAGCAGTTACAAAGCTGTGGACATCAAGTATTGGAAGTGTAAATGCAACTCATCAGAATGGGACTGGCCAATTGTCTTTGTCCTCTTTAAAACAGCCCTCAATAAGATGCCTTGACTTGCAGAAGTGCATCTCATGCCCAGCAGCTGCATGCTTTTGGCAAGTCCATATTGCAGGGTACCTGACCATTGACTGATGCTTGGCAAAAGCATCCCTCTGGACCGCTGTACCCTCCCATGCACCAAGCTGTCAAGTCACATGGATATGTGATAAGGTATCCAGAGAGGGATATAATAGAAGCTTGCTGGTGCTACATCAATTCCAGCAGTCCTGAGGAGCAGATTCATAGAGCAAGTTGATTAAGACCCTTTGTGAAACTGTGATTAGCTCACACGCATCTGACAGAATGTGACTGCCCATGTTGTGTGCTGTTATTTGAAGCCATGTGCAGGCAGACACTATGCATTCAACTTTTCAGCTCTTAAAAGTCAGAAGCAGGTCTTAGATGATTCATTCACACAGCAGGGCAACGTTTACCTGAAGGCTTTGTATATGCTCAGTGTTTGTGATAACAGAGTGACTGCATGACAGTCACACAGACCTAAGACGACTAGCAGTGGCTGGAGAACTTCTGGTGGAGGAAGTAGACCTTCAGAAAGTTGCATTAGGTAGATACCCATTCAAGCACCAGGTGATTTAGTAAGGACAAGTAGAGGAGGCTGCTAACTCTCCTTCAGAAGATGGCTAACTCAGACTAATAAAGAACCAGGATGAACTAGATTAAGACTTGCCAGCCAGCTGCAGGTACTGCAGCAGTATTTGTTGATACTGTGGTTTCACCACAGTTGGCAAATGCTGCTAATAGGGTTGAAACGTATTTTAGAAGCTTTTAGTTATTAATATAAGCTTTAGTGGATAAAAAAAGAAAAACACAGAATCATAGAATAGTTAGGGTGGGAAAGGACCTTAATGACAATATAAAAATGAAAGATTGGAACATTTGATATTTCTCTATTGACTCCATGAAGGTATATAATGAGACCAAAGTTTTCTCTTAGCTCAGTATCATCTCCCTCAGGGGCAAACAGTGCACTCGAAGTAAAAAGAATGAGGTAAAACAAGTTGTCCTGGGTTTAGCAGTGGCAGTCATTTCTCTCTTTCTTGGTAGCTGGTGCAGGGCTGTGTTTTGACTTTCAGCTGGGAACAGAGCTGAAAAACAATGTTTTGGTTTGGCCAAGGACTTTGTGGGCCTCATGCTCTGCCAGGGAGGAGGGGAGCCGGGAGGAAGTAGAGACAGGACACCTGACCCAAACTGACCAAAGAGGTATTCCATACCACAGCACGTCATGCCCAGGATGTACTGGGAGAGTGACCCGGAAGGGGGTGAGAGGGGGGACTGCAGGGTTGGAGGAGGTATCGGTCGGTGCTTGGTCGGGCTGGGGGGCAAGTTATCGGTTGCCTGGTGATGGGCTGTTGTATTCTCTTCCCTTTTTATTTCCTTTATCATTACTATTATTGGTGGTAGCAGTAGTGATTTGTGTTATACCTTAGTTACTAAACTGTTCTTATGTCAACCCGTGGGAGTTGCATTCTTTTTGATTCTCCTCTCCGTCCCTCCGAGAGTAGGGGGAGGGCAAGAAGGGGGGGGGGGAGTGAGTTAACAAGCTGTTTGGTTGGGTTAAACCACGACACAAGTACATTGTGATATTTCCTCAAAAGGCACTGTAGCCTGCTTCAGTTCACTGTAGTTCGCTGACAAATTAAGCCATGGTACCATCTATGTACATGAAGGATTTTTCTTCCATAAATTCTTTTAATCACTTTCTGAACTCATGCAAACTTCCAGCAAGCAGAATATTCAATGACAAGGTATTCTACAGTTTAACTACATACTGATTAAAATTTAAGTTTGCTTGCTTAAAACCTACCAACTTATTTGAGTTGCCTAGATATTATTCTCCCCAAAAAGCAGGCTGAACAACAGGCAAACTATGTACTATCTCAGGGATTCCTTGCTTAAGCTATAGAGTGCTGGGTTTTAAGCCATGTTTAACCCCACATTTGGCTCAAGTTCCTGCAGTCTCAAGGAGCAATACATGCTCCCTCTCTGCTCTCTCTCCTTCTCCAAGGGCTGCTCAGCTAACCCTTAGAACTTCCCTGATGTCTCTAAACTTCTTTATATGCCCCATGTTTTCAGACACGATTTTCATCACTAGCAATGGGGGAAAAAATGGTTAATTATTAACAGGTTCTTCAACTCTCTACAAGATTGTGTAAGGAGGAGTACAGGAAACCAAATGCTACCATCACTATGCCACTAATAATTCAACTGACCTTCACTGTAGTGAAGGCCTAAGTAGGAAGTTTTTCACATTTAGCTTTGGTTATTCTATCAGATCCCCCTCAGGCAGAAGTATTTTCACATTTAATAGGAGAAATTCATGATCATAGAGGCTTTATTTACATTTTTATTAAGTACCAATTTCCTAAACATATTTTTTTTCCTATTTGTAAAGGGGCTACTTTAAGAACTCTTAATAATTATGCAGTTAAACAAAAGCCTGCATTACAAAAAATGACAGATAACAGACAACCTATTCACACAGTCAGGCTTTCCATTAAAAACACTGAAGCAACATTCAATGGCAAAATTATCTTGAAACAAACCCAAAATATTCAGAATTTACCTTCCCATTCTGTTGGAAAGTCACCCATTTGATACTGATATGCTTGACGATTTATTGGCTCTACAAATCTTCTTTCTTGTATAATATGCCCTGCAGCAAAAAAAAAAAAAAAGTTAAATATATTTCTACATAATATTTAAATTGCTATGTTATTGTTTTGAAAGAACTGTACTACTCACACAAGTGAGTTAGCCACCTCTGTTTATCCCTCTCTTTGAGAATGTTTCCCCGAACAAGTGTTGGTAAGTTTTCTAACAACTGTCACCTGGATATCTTCCACACCATTGCTGGTGAGGGATCAGAAACTTGGTGCAGTGTTTGGGTCAAAAATAAGCATTGAAAGTTCACTCATTCGCTTTGCAAAGTGCTCAGGCCACATAATCTCCCGCCCCCGACTACTGTTCTGTTCATGTGAGCCTTTCCACATATGTTTGCAAACCAAGTATTTTCCATGTTAAAAACTAAAAACCTGTGTGTTACCCTCTGATCGGGAACATTCACAATACAGAAAGGGGAGCTAGTTTGGAGAATCTGGATCTACATCTCACCCACAGATTTTACTACTGCCAAAGAGAAAGCTTCAAGGTTCAAGCGGTGAAGTAGCAAACAGCAGACTGACTGCCAGATCTCATGCTACCGTACAGTGAAAAGAGTATTTTAATTTGCATTTTAAATTAGCAGATACTGGAAAGATGTGCAAGCAACCCACCCTTCACAGGGAATAAAACCCTAACAACATTCTCCAGGCTTTTTCACCCAGATTTTCCCCCTCCTGGAAGGCTGATATGGAGAAATTTCATATTTTGAGGAAACACAAGTATCTGTACAAAATACTTTCTTTCGTAATGATGTGATTCATGCAATTCTTCCCTTCCATATGCTTACAACAAGTATTTCAAATAAAGTTATTAAAACTGACAGAATTTACAATTCACCCATCTCTGATTAACAAACTGCATACTATTGTTCATTATTATTTTTAATACAGCAAAATAAGAACTTGTATAGAAGCTGTGATTCCTTTTCTATGTACCTTCTCTAGCTTGATAATATTTCTTTTTATTTTTAAGCAATGCAACATTTTTATTGCTTCAGATATGCTATTAGGCAAAGAAAATAGTGTAGCATATTTTCAGCAATGATTTGTACTTGCTTGTTTTATAAATAGACAACTCCTATATGCTGAAGATAACTCACAAACGTGCTTCAAAATGATTTCATTTCAACAATACCAAGGATAATTCAATTTCTCAAGCTCCTTTATCTCCAAAGCAAATAAAAAACATGGAATTATCTTCCTCCCATATAGATTTCCAGAAAACCTGGAGACAAATCTAATTCGGTCTGATTCTATGTAAGTCTCAGAATTAACACTCTTTGCCATTACTGGAAAGTCACTAGATTTTACTGTTAGCACAGCACCTGTTAAGAAGCTGCCCGTATTTTGAGTCCTGCGCAGTGGAACAGTACGAATAAACTGACAGAAGGAAGAGTAACAAAGAAATGTATTTTTCTACCTGCTACCACAACTTGTGATTGATGTTGTCTTTCTGCATTCCCAAATAAAATATTCTTAACTAATCTACTTTTAAGAAAATCCACCACTTTCTATCCTGCTGCAAGCTTTCATAAGACACTTGTAAAAAATTCATTCTCCAGATCCCACAGTCAAATTACACTGTAGAGCCAGGCTTGGGGAATTATTTCTCGAAGATGTTATTTTGAAGAATCATCACACAGTAGTGCTGGTGGCTTTTAGGCCTCTCTGCATTTGTGATGCACACACAACGTTAATTAACTGCAAGTGTCTGATTTGCCATGTCCCATAGGTTTCTTCTGGCAGACTACCACTGACAAATAATTTACATAGACTTTCCTATTGAAGATTACACTGCAGCCTCTTTAGATGTAATGAAAACCTTTTACAAGTTGAGAGACCTGTTCTTTCATACTAGATATTGACTATTTTGTTTTATATTCATTCATTCCCATGTTTTCAAATAAATATTCTGGTCTTTGCTGCTGCAAGGAAAGTTCACTTGTAAGTGTATTCATATGAAGCAATCACCAATAGCAATGCAGGAACAACAGTTTAACTGCAAAATTAACCCCATTTTCATGTGACCGCTAGATCTTAGAAACTGAAGAACCATTAATAATTCAAGATGGGATTTTATAAAACACAACATATCCAAAGAAAAACAGCCAATCACTCATAAAACAGAAAGCAGTTTACTTCAGAAAGAATTTACCAAATGTACAGAATAGTCACATACACCATCATTTACACAAAACACTGAAGTAGCCAAGATTTGCAACTTTGCAGAAGTCACAGCAAGGCAAATGGCCAAGAAGTCTTAAGCAGGGGACAGATCTTTCAGCAAGTGATACAGTATTAACACATTTTAGATTTATATACTTTCTTACTATACGCATTTTCTCTAAGGCTTTCTGTCCCAGTCAATCTGAAAGTTAATGAGTGATGACTGAAATAAATTTGTATAAAAGCCTGAAAACAAAAGTGTTTAACAGAAGTTAGACAGCCTGCTGCCATGAGAAAGGGACAGCAAAAGCCAGCAAGGGAAATAGTGAAATGTGACGGGGTAGCAAATGACTTAATGATTTATCTTCTAATTTTCTACAGCCCTATGAAGCCTAGAAACTTAAGTATTATTTACACAACAAAAAACATGGTTAACTGTAGATACACACAGATGCTAAAAACGTTTTATTTTTCCAGGTTCTTCTAGGAAGAGCCCTTCTTCTATAGGCAAACCATCCAGCCACTCCTCCCCAAGCCTGTAGCATTGCATGGAGTTGTTGTGGTACATGTGCGGTACCTGGTACTTTGCCTTGTTGAACCTCATACCACTGGCCACAGCCCATTGATCCAGCCTGTCCAAATCCCTCTGCAAAGCCTTCCTATCCTCCAGCAGACCAACACTCCCACCCAACTTCATGTTGTCTGCAAACATACTGAGGGTGCACTTGATCCCCTCACCCAGATCATCAATTAATACATTAAGCAACACTGGCCCTAACACCAAGCCCTGAGGGACACTGCTAGGGACCAGTCGCCAACTAGATGTGACGCCAAATTAACTGAATTAATCTCAGATGTTCATGAGAACTCAGAATCAGAACTCTTCTGGCTTGCTGATTTGCATTGCTGCGTAGTAAGAGTCCATGGGAGAAACACTTTATTAAAGAAATATATATTTATGTATATTTAAATGCACAGGCTAACTATACAGCCTTTGTTAATTTAAGACACATGGACTGAATTTCAGTTGCATGGCACTGATGTGAACTTTCACTGTCTTTGTAGCCACCCTTTAAATACTGGAACATGGTGATAAGGTGTCCCCTAAGCTTTCTTTTCTCCAGACTGAACAAACCCGCTTCTCTCTGCTTGTCCTCATAGGGAAGGCTTCCTAGTCCTTGGCTCATCTTTGTGGCCCTTCTCTGGACCCTCTCCAGCCACTAGAATTCTGGAACACAGTATTCCAGGTGTCATCTGACAAGTGCAGAGCAGAGTGGGATACTACATCTTCACCTCTGCTGGTGATGCCCTTGCTGACGGAACCCAGCATTACATTGGGTAGATTTCTATTTTATCCTGTTGTAGATGTCTATGGAAGGTACAAAGTCAAGACTATTCTTTTCAGGAACACATACTTTCAAAGTTAAAGGCTCACATGCAGTACCATTCTCACAGACCCTTTTCACCTCCCAAAACAAATGCCAGCTGACAGTGTCAGTATCATAGCCAAACTAACTCAGTATTGTTTGTTATTTTTTATTAATTATCATTATTACTATGCCCCACTATGTATCAAAATAATTGTTCTTTCTTTGCTCCGATTTATGGTATGATTAGGCTGATTTTGTCCCAAATTTTAATCCATTATGTCAATTTAAATCTGACTCTTCATGCCATCTAGATTCTGCCCGTCTTATAAGCATATACTAAGCAATCGAGTTTTTGCAAACAAGGCTTACTATTTACTATTTATGAACTATTTTCAATGTAGCAATTGAGCTATCAGAGCACATACTCAGCAAGCAAACAAAACCCAAATAAACCTACGTCCAGGATCTACAAAAGTAGACCTCACTGAAATCAGAAAGAGATGTTTTCTCAATACACCCCCCACTTTCAGTTTACTAAGACCAACCATAAACTGTGTAAGGTTAGTTAAGAGCTTAGTACCTTTTAGAACTAAAGTGTTTAAAATGGACTGAAGAATGTTTCTCAAATCAAACTTTAAGCAAAAGTTAGCAGGAATACTTTCCCAGAAGTAATTTTAAATTAATGACTGGAAATAAAAAGAATAAAAAAAAATCAAAATGTTAACAAACAGGTCTCCCACTTTCTCTTTAAATTCCAAACCATATTTCTGCTTGATTGCTCCAACTGCCAAAAATTTTACCATTTCCAACTGTATTTAAATGTCTCTTAAATGTCTGCTTAAATATGAATAAGCATATTTTCTAAGTTAAATGAACTTTTGCTATGGAAAGCTCAAGTCTTTGAAAAACTTTACAGTAAATGTTATATTTACATTTTCTGTTTTACAAATACCATCAAAAAGTCTAGAATATCCTAGCAAATCGTTAACGGGATACACCCCTTTTTACATTGGTCCTGGCAGGGGGGATATTTTTATGATAAATAAAGGAAAACCACACATAGAAGTTAATGACTTTTCTACTAAGCTTAACAGAACCAAGCCATCAAGCCACAGTCAGAAAGCATAAAATATTTGTACAAAACAAAAACAAAAAGGCACTGTCAGATCAGAGAGAAACTTTTGCAAACTTGCAAAATATTCAGTGCAAACCATGCACTGGGTTTGCCAGCATCACTTTACCCATCTCCGAATTGAATCACCTAGAAATGGGAAGTTTAAAAATACATAACAACATGCACACACACACATATATATAAATAAATATAAATATAAATGCATCAGGATAACACAAGGATTTAGAGGCTAGTAGAAAATAACTTTTTTTTGGTATACAGTCTCATGTGAAGAGACGGTTAGTGAAACATCAGATTAAAACATTTGGAAGAAGATTAAAAC